TAGTAGGATGATTGGAAAGGATGAGTTTAGAGACTTCTGCCTCAGAGAGTGGAGAGAAGGATGAAAATTAGTGTATGTTTGCTGGTAAGATGTTTGACAGTTTGTGGTGTGGCAAATTGTGCACTGAGGTTTGTAATTTTATTAATGAAGAATGTGGCAAAGTCGTCAGCTGTTAGAGTTGATGAAGGAGGGGGAGGAGGAGGACAAAGGAGGGAGGAAAATGTTTTAAAGAGCATGCGAGAGTTAGGCGAATTGTTAATTTTGTTGTGATAGTATGTCCTTTTAGCAGTGGAGACATTAGCAGAGAATGAAGAGAGGAGTGGTCGATATACATTAAGGTCAGTAGGATTTTGTGATTTGCGCCATACTCTTTCTGCAGCTCTGAGCTTAGAACGATGCTCACAGAGAACATCAGATAGCCAAGGGGTAGAAGAGTTGGTATGAGCTGGCCTGGAAGACAAGGGGCAGACAGTGTCTAAACAAGACGTAAGAGTGGAGCAGAAATTATCAGTAACACTGTTAACATCAAGAGATGATAACTGTTCAGGGGAAGGAAGCAAAGATGAAACCATAGCTGATAGCCGGGAGTGTTAAATGTTGTGAAACTATTTATTAAATATTAAATATATTTACAAAAAATTTTAAATAATAAAAAGAATGAGAGGAATTGGCCTACGTTCTTGGAAACCCCCCAACTACCCCCACCCCAAATTTCACATCCTTTACTTTTGATATAAATACTTTGATATACATTTACAGACAAAACGGAAAATACAAAGTAAGAGAGATGTGAAAAACCATTGTCCTCTTTTCTTTGCACTTTTAGTCTTTCCTGACTACAGGCCTATCAGGGTTCTTGTAAAAGGCTCCTGTTGCTTTCATTTGTGCAATAACTAGGCTGTGCTCAAAACCACATGTTGCACCCTACCATGCATCACGGAAACTTTCAGAGCGTTACATTCTCTTGCATCTATAGGGTAACTGGGGATGTGCGGTTTGATATACTTGTGTTCTGCTTTTCGTTTAGTCCAAACGATAAAATCAGATCAAATGAGTCCTTGTGAAGTTTTTTTTTAAGTCTTGAAATCTGATGGTGAGGGTGTTTAAGGTTATTGTTTCATGCTAAAACGTGTTTAAAAATGACACATTAACATTTTTCAAGGTTACAGGAATTTGACACTGAACATGATACCATTATTTTTAGTATTTGCTTTAGGCCTCATTTGAATGGTATTAGGGTTTTATAATATTCCTCATGGTTACCGTTTCATTATAGGTTGCAGAAAATGTGGTTATTTTGCAAATGTGGTTCTCTCACTCTGTTTGTGGGGGACGTGCTTCCAAACTCACGTACCACCAGTGCATACATGCTGCTCAACCAAACTAGCTGGATTCCTCTCTTTGCCCCTCTCCTGTGCTTTACATCTTACGTTCCCCACATGTATGAATTGCAATAGTTATCAGAACTTAAGTTGACATTTTGTTATGATTTCCATTTTGTTGCATGGTCTGAAGTGTAATTTTAAAGCCAGCTGCCAAACATATCTGCTGGTTTGTGGGTAAACCCCTGCTTTGGCTTCACAGCTGTTGGTCAATTAAATACTAGTTATCTTTGCATCTCTCATGGCGGTTTACTGGCAACCTAGTTATAGTGTGATTTATATATTTTTAAAATTTTCCTATCAGATGCTGGGTTGGTCTCTTTAAATTTTAAGTTTTTTGAATACTATTGAAGTGGTTGGGTCAATGCTTAAACCTTCCGATCCCTGAAGCGCTTGTTGTGTTTGGTGGTGCGTGCTGTGTACTTGACTCCCTGAACCAGCTCGTCCTGCTTTCCTCGTCTTTCCTCGTGTTACAGGAATTCCTCGCACATGGCAGGGCAAGCTAAATGATAATAAGTGAGAGAATGACTTAGATGGCAAGATAGAATGACTAAGACTGTGCTAGAAGGTTAGTGTGACAAGCTAGAGATACGACTCTGATAATATGCTGCAGCTAAATATGATGTTATATTATGTTATGTTATACATTAAACCAAACAAGATTTCACTCATAGTAATAAGAACTCACTCTCTAAAAACATTTTCATTTACCTAAATGTGTCACCTTTACAGTAATGTCAGGGTTACCGGCTTAGTGAAAAGTCTAGTGCTTTTTTAAAATTTGTAATTTTTTAATATAAAATGTTAAATATTTATGTGTTCAGGTTAACACAATATTTTGACGTGATATATAATCACATTGTAAAATAAGTAAGTATTTTAAAAATGTTTAGGATTTAAAAAATATTTTTTTAGTTTGTTTGGGAAGGAAATAAAGTATGTCCTTCATATACACTCTCAGAAAAAAAGGTACAAAAGCTGGCAATGGGGCAGTACCTTTTCAAAAGGTACACTTTTGTACCATTTAGGTACTAATATGTACACTTTAGGTACTTATATGTACACTCTAAAAAAATGCTGGGTTATTTCAACCCAACTTTGGGTCAAATAAAAATAAATTTTTACATGAATATTTTTAACCCAAAAGTTGGGTTAGTCCAAATTTGACCCAAAGTTGGGTTGAAATAACCCAGCATTTTTTAGAGTGTACCTTTAAGGTACCAATATGGACTGTTTAGGTACAAAGGTGTGCCTTTTGAAAAGGTACCGCACCAGTGACAGCTTTTGTACCTTTTTTTCTGAGAGTGTATGGTTCGGCTCTACTTCTCTTCGTTCAAAGACAATTAGATGAGAAAAGTTTTAATTATCATATTTAAAGGTCTTAAATTTTGTTTTCAAACGTCAAACGTTGCTGAGCTGCGTGAAATGTCTGATATCGGTGAAGATATTCATATCATGTTGCAGCATGTCCAATGTCCAGACACACACTCAAACTTCATACATTTATTTATGATATTGCACACTGAACACAACACATCGTACAAACAGGCACCTTTTGTCCGTGTCAAACTTATATATTTGATCCCTGAGCTAAACCTGGGATTATTGCTAGCACCATAATCATGATTATTCAAGTTACAGGATCTTATAGTATATCACTCTATAGTGTTCCACAATAATGACACTTACAGTACTGTAGATGATGTATATGATGTATTAGTGTAACACTGTGACACTGATCTTTTAGGTTCTGTGTGCAACTGCTAATAACAGTGAATACAGTGAATATAAGAGCACTTCTGATCGGACCACCGATGCTTTGAATCGTTTCAAGTAGCTCTCACTCGCTGGACTGGGGATCTGAACAATCACTCCAACTTAACCGAGTAACTTCTCATCAGAGCTAGGAAAGATTACAAAGAATATAATAACTTAATCTTGAGTACATAAATACCATGTTCTTGTATGTTTATGTCAAGCTGCAATGATGCCACACTACACACTTGTTTGATAAATATTATGGATAATCTTGTAGTCTGTGTCATTAAATGAAACTCAAATAATGAAAATAATCAAAAACTCACCATCTTAAAATTACTTTCACCATGTTTACATAGTTATGCCGTCATATACTGTCAAACTGTTCATACATATTTAAAATATCTTTAAAAAACCCAAGAGATTTAAAGCAGCAATTATCATGTTGAATATTTATAACTTACCATATGACTTTTTCTTTTGGTAGATGCAGCAACCAATCACAAAGAGAAATATAACTACAGCTGCTGCTATTATTCCTGCTATAAAAGACCACAGACATTCTGTTGAAGAAAATAAAAAAGCATCATAAATACTTGTTGAACAGAGTTTAACTTTAATTGTTTGTGACAATTACACTACATTACTTAAAGGGCACATGAAATGTAGAATCAAAATGTCCTTGATATTTACACATATGAGAGGTTACTCTAAAGTAAAAACATACTGCAAGTTTCACACCAACCATTTCCATCTTTCTGAAACAGCAGAATATTGATCCAAAAGATCAAACTATTAATAATATCTGAGCAAACAAACAGGAATGGTTATGTTTCACAACAGACTCTCTCCATGCTGCCAGTTTTTCTAAATATCTTGCATTGAAGCGTTTGCGACAGAGAGTGAAATTGAGGATGGAAGATGATCATTTTTTACAAATGTTTGATGTTTTTGATACAAAAAACTTCATAAGCTAAACTCCAGAAAATAATATGAGCATCTGAAAATGCATTTCATGACCCCTTTAATTACTTTAAAACATCAACACTCCTCCTTCTGCAGTTAGTGATTTGTATTTAATCTTCACATTATAATTGCAGAAGCAGCATCAGTGTATAATGGATACTCTAATTATAATCATAATTACTCACCACTTGATTTCTGCTGATATATGGTCCACACTGTTACAATCGGCTGTGTCTGAGTCAGACTGCTGTGAATGACCAGACAGTCATAAATCCCTGTGCGATTTGCATCAATCTCCACACTGGTTCTCATCTGAAAGGATCCATCAGCATTTGGTCTGATTCCAGAAGATGTTTGGTTCACAAGAACAGATTCGTCCAACCTAATGTACATCTCAATATCTCTGGGGTAGAAACCAGTTCGGCTCTACTTCTCTTCGTTCAAAGACAATTAGATGAGAAAAGTTTTAATTATCATATTTAAAGGTCTTAAATTTTGTTTTCAAACGTTGCATTCATATGAGCTGCGTGAAATGTCTGATATCGGTGAAGATATTCATATCATGTTGCAGCATGTCCAGTACATAAACACACACTCAAACTTCATACATTTATTTATGATATTGCACACTGAACACAACACATCGTACAAACAGGCACCTTTTGTCCGTGTCAAACTTATATATTTGATCCCTGAGCTAAACCTGGGATTATTGCTAGCACCATAATCATGATTATTCAAGTTACAGGATCTTATAGTATATCACTCTATAGTGTTCCATAATAATAACACTTACAGTACTGTAGATGATGTATTGCACTGAAGAGTGTAACACTGTGACACTGATCTTTTAGGTTCTGTGTGCAACTGCTAATAACAGTGAATAAATTGTGTCTAAGAGCACTTCTGATCGGACCACCGATGCTTTGAATCGTTTCAAGTAGCTCTCACTCGCTGGACTGGGGATCTGAACAATCACTCCAACTTAACCGAGTAACTTCTCATCAGAGCTAGGAAAGATTACAAAGAATATAATAACTTAATCTTGAGTACATAAATACCATGTTCTTGTATGTTTATGTCAAGCTGCAATGATGCCACACTACACACTTGTTTGATAAATATTATGGATAATCTTGTAGTCTGTGTCATTAAATGAAACTCAAATAATGAAAATAATCAAAAACTCACCATCTTAAAATTACTTTCACCATGTTTACATAGTTATGCCGTCATATACTGTCAAACTGTTCATACATATTTAAAATATCTTTAAAAAACCCAAGAGATTTAAAGCAGCAATTATCATGTTGAATATTTATAACTTACCATATGACTTTTTCTTTTGGTAGATGCAGCAACCAATCACAAAGAGAAATATAACTACAGCTGCTGCTATTATTCCTGCTATAAAAGACCACAGACATTCTGTTGAAGAAAATAAAAAAGCATCATAAATAGTTGTTGAACAGAGTTTAACTTTAATTGTTTGTGACAATTACACTACATTACTTAAAGGGCACATGAAATGTAGAATCAAAATGTCCTTGATATTTACACATATGAGAGGTTACTCTAAAGTAAAAACATACTGCAAGTTTCACACCAACCATTTCCATCTTTCTGAAACAGCAGAATATTGATCCAAAAGATCAAACTATTAATAATATCTGAGCAAACAAACAGGAATGGTTATGTTTCACAACAGACTCTCTCCATGCTGCCAGTTTTTCTAAATATCTTGCATTGAAGCGTTTGCGACAGAGAGTGAAATTGAGGATGGAAGATGATAATTTTTTACAAATGTTTGATGTTTTTGATACAAAAAAACTTCATAAGCTAAACTCCAGAAAATAATATGAGCATCTGAAAATGCATTTCATGACCCCTTTAATTACTTTAAAACATCAACACTCCTCCTTCTGCAGTTAGTGATTTGTATTTAATCTTCACATTATAATTGCAGAAGCAGCATCAGTGTATAATGGATACTCTAATTATAATCATAATTACTCACCACTTGATTTCTGCTGATATATGGTCCACACTGTTACAATCGGCTGTGTCTGAGTCAGACTGCTGTGAATGACCAGACAGTGATAAATCCCTGTGCGATTTGCTTCAATCTCCATACTGGTTCTCATCTGAAAGGATCCATCAGCATTTGGTCTGATTCCAGAAGATGTTTGGTTCACAAGAACAGATTCGTCCAACCTAATGTACATCTCAATATCTCTGGGGTAGAAACCAGTGGCCAGACAGCTCAGAACCAGCTTACTTTGATCAGGAGCGTTCTTCACAAAGACACGAACATCTGGTGAAGCTGGAAAAGAAAATAATAAGTGACAAATATTTACTTGATCCCCCTGTATTGAAAGTAGCTTATGCATAAATGACTGAATGAATGACTGAATGAACGACTGAATGAACGACTGACTGACTGACTGTCTGACTGACTGACTGACTGATTGAATGAATAAATGAATGAATGAACGATTGATTGAATGAATGAATGGCTGAATGAATGACTAACTGACTGACTGAATGACTGAGTTAATGAATGGCTGAGGTATTGCTTGAGGAATTGGTTTCGTTCTGTTTGCTGATCCCATTTTATTTTGGTTTCTTTAGCTTTGGGATTTTTATCAATCCACTGCAGAGTGTCAGAATCAAAGGCCATAAAATCCTCTCCATCAAATCCATATTCATCAAATGCTCTCAGACTCACTGTTCCATCAGGAAGCTTCTCCAGTTCACAACCAATCATTCTCTGAAGAACATGGAGCTCTATAATCACAGAACAACACTCACAACAATATACACGGTATTCAGTACTCTGCAAAAGTCTTCACAACATGTCTGATAATTGATGAGTGAAGCATTAAACGCACCAGAACACTGTGTGCAGTCTGACAGAGTCCTGATCTGATGTAGGAACCAGTCTCTAGAATCAGGTGCTTCAGGAGCTTCAGTCCAGTCATCTGCAGTCAGACTCGATCTGACCCAGGATTGATCTTCATTACTGTAATGTTTGATCTGTCTGAACTCTGGGAATGTGTCTGCTTTGGAAAGGACTGTAAACTTGAAGTGGAGGGAATGTTTCTCTGAGGAACAGACACATGCAATGACAAAACTGACAAAATACGGATAAAACTAACAAACCTGATAACAAACTCTACTTTAAGGAATACAATAACATTTTATTTTTACTATAATTAACATAACATTTATAATATTTTATAATAGTGTTCTTACCTTGCTGTGCAACGCTAAGAAAACAGTGAAACAATAAAATAATAACAAGCAAAAACATTCTATACAGAAAATGTTTAAAAACTAGAGCCTATCAAATATTTTTTTGTCCTTTACATTTTGGATCTGGATCTTAAAGTGAAAGTTCTTTCGTCTCTTCCGGGTGTTTTTGAGCGCACTGCTGCCCCTCACAGGCGGCTTGATGAAATGACACTTTCACTTTCATTATTATGAAAGGTTATATATGTTGTTATATGTTATAAGGTTATATGTTGAGGAAAAGTCCAACCGTAAAATTATTTAAATTCGTCGTTAACAGTATTATAATTTTTAAACTCTCTTAAAACAGTTTTCAGACTATAGTTTGAGAATATAAACTGAGAACATACAAAAAAACTGAATGACTGACTGACTGACTGACTGGCTGAATGACTGAATGAATGAATGAATGAATGAATGACTGACTGACTGACTGAATGACTGACTTACTGACTGAATGAATGGATGAATTAATGATTGATTTAATTAATGAATGAATAAATAAATGACTGAATGACTGACTGAATGGATGAATGAATGAATGAATGACTGTATGAATGAATTAATGAATGACTGAATTAATGAATGAATGATTGACTGACTGACTGAATTAATGGATGAATTAATAATTTATTGAATGAATGAATGAATAAATGACTGAATGACTGACTGAATGAATGATTGACTGAATGAATGAATGACGAATGGATGAATGACTGAATTAATGAATGGATGGATGGATGATTGAATGAATGACTGAATTAATGAATGAATGAATAAGTGAATGAATGATTGAATGAATGAACGAACGAACGAATGATTGAATGATTGAATGAATGAATGACTGACTGACAGACTGACTGACTGACTGAATGAATGATTGAATGAATGGCTTGCTGACTGATTGACTGACTGAATGAATGAATGAATGATTGAATGAATGAATGAATGAATGAATGAATGACTGTAAACTTGTAGAAGAGGAAGTGATTTTCTGAGGAACATAATAAACACAAACAAAAATAAAAACACGATACACAATATGTAAAATGAGAGGGAAAATTATGTTTGCTAAAAACATCTTAAATATGAACTTGAACTTAAAATGTTTTTAATAGTTTCAATGTAGCTGAGTCATGTCGATCAGAAGGAAGTGCTGTGGACAGAAATGAATGAACCTTGTTCTTACCTTGCCTCGCGTCACTTAGAAAAGAATAAGGCAACAAAAAAATGATTAAGATAATTCTTATGTCTACAGAAAATGTTTGAAACAAGAGACTATTTGCCATTTTTGACCTTAAATATTGTAGATGAGTGCCCTGTACGTCTACATGAAGAGCCCGGCTACAGATTGCACTCATCAATCGCTTCCTCTGACGTCACTAGAAGTCGCCACCAGTGACTCTAGGATTTCTTGGCAGTGCAATGGGGGAACTTAACTATGGAAGCCCGTTTCAGCCACTGAATAAAAAATAAAATAAAAAAGTTAATAGTTAATCTATATCTCACAATTCTGACTTTTTTCTCAGAATTGCAGTTTAGATCTTGCAATTCTGAGGAAAAAGGGTCAGAATTGCAAGATGTAAACTTGCAATTGCAGGAAAAAAGTCAGAATTGCAGAATTTTTACTTGTAATTCTGACTTTTTGTCTCAAAATTGCAAGATATGAACTCAGAATTGCGTGATATAAACTTATGAAATGCTTTTTGTGTGCAAAGAAAACAAAAATAACGACTTTATTCAACAATTTCTTCTCTTCTGTGTCAGTCTCCTCCGCCGTTCACGAGAGTACCATGACGCATGCGCTGCACCTTGTTTACGAGCAGAGGAATGCATTACAAACATTACACACCATCAGCTATTAACCTTTAAAAAATGGTTTCCTGTAGTGTGTTTTTGGACATATTCCATCAGGATTTAATGGTTTTAACATGCCACTAATAAAAGGCAACAAATTACCAGTCGAGACAAACAGGGTCTATCACATTTTCCATTAAAACCAGTAAAACCATTACAAATGTGATGGTTTCTATTGTTTTTTTCAGCAGAGAACACTTCAGTGGTATGAGACGACTGGATGGGTTGATTTCCTATGAAACTGTCAGCACTGAACGGCAGTGTCTAACTATTTATAGTGAATTTAGCTACAAACTGGATCATAATGCACAATGTTTCCATCTAACATGTATTTTGAGCTGCAGCTCGTCATATTAATGGAGTGTTTCATTATTTAGCAGTAATCCGGTTACCTCACCTGAACATGTTTGTAGATTTGTGTTGGATGTCTTCGACGTTTAAAGCATTTATCTTCGGAATGGAAATATCGATATTTTATTTGTAAACATTTTTTCGCTTATTTCAGTTAATCTCATAAAACTAGCGAGCTAACGGTTCTGACTATTGCAGTAGCCCCGCCCACCGCTATTGACTGACAGGCGCGTATAACCATATCCTCAGCTCTCAGTAGGCTCGTTTGAGATGCATCGGCGCTGCACAGAACGATCGATGTATGACCGCGAGAGCCATAATAGAGCAGACGACTCTTTATGCTTTTGAATTGCTCTCAAAATCACGGTACTTTGATCGTTCTCCGCAGCGCCGATGCATCTCGAACAAGCCTCTTGTGTTGTGCCCACTGATCTATAATAGTCATTATATATAGATGGTGGTTGTGCCATGTCCGCTATTTAGTCTGCGTGCGATCGGCTGTGTCGCATCCATCGTTACAAAGCGGCTGTGAAAATCTATACAAGTACATAAATGATTCAAACTACCATTCTGAGACTTTCTGGTTCATTCGCATTATTGTTTTTTCTGCTGTCCGGTTCGTACATGTACGGCTGAATACCGGTCCTCTCACTCTCGCTCATGTTGTTTCTCCTCTCTGTTTATTTCCATATGCAAAGCAGAGAGGTCTAGGCTCCGCCCCCTTCTCGATTCTGGCGGGAAGTTGCAGCTCATTTTCATGTAAGGGAACACACCCCTGAAACAGCACTTTTTAGACCCGCCCCAAAAATGACACTTTTCAACACGTTATAATAAACTATCTGTATGGTATTTTGAGCTGAAACTTCACAGGCACATTCAGGAGAGCCATAAGATTAATATTACTTCTTGTAAAAAGGTACATAATAGGTGCCCCTTAATATCATGTTGTTTCTCCTCTCTGTTTATTTCCATATGCAAAGCAGAGAGGTCTAGGCTCCGCCCCCTTCTCGATTCTGGCGGGAAGTTGCAGCTCATTTTCATGTAAGGGAACACACCCCTGAAACAGCACTTTTTAAACCCGCCCCAAAAATGACACTTTTCAACACGCTATAATAAACGATCTGTAGGGTATTTTGAGCTGAAACTTCACAGGCACATTCAGGAGAGCCTTAAGATTAATATTACATCTTGTAACATCGCGTGTGTGTTGGTCGTATTCATGCAGGAGGCAGCAGATGATTTAATCAGAGTCAGACGGGCCTCCATCACGTCACACAAACACACGACCAGACTCAAATCCTCACTAAATTCGCCGTTTTTAATATCAAGTGATTTTCTTAATATTACTTTTAGACGCTGAACCTGGTTGTTGATGTTTTATTTGCTGAAGAATTAGACGTTTAACAAAGTTTTATTAACTGATAATCAAAGTCGTTATCGTTGTTTGATTTTCCTTTAGCTTATAATGATACAAAACGTCACATGTGCTCTTGATATTGAACATTACATGATTATTTTAGTATTTTTGTTTTGCTTTCCAGAACTATTTTTAAAGATACATTACCTTATTTTAAAAATAAGGCCTATAATCTACACTCTCAGAAAAAAAGGTACAAAAGCTGTCACTTGGTCGGTACCTTTTCAAAAGGTACACTTTTATACCTTTTAGGTACTAATATGTACACTTTAGGTACTTATATATACCTTTAAGGTACCAATATGGACTGTTTAGGTACAAAGGTGTGCCTTTTGAAAAGGCACCGCACCAGTGACAGCTTTTGTACCTTTTTTTCTGAGAGTGTATGGTTCGGCTCTACTTCTCTTCGTTCAAAGACAATTAGATGAGAATAGTTTTAATTATCATATTTAAAGGTCTTACAATTTGTTTTCACACGTTGCATTCATATGAGCTGCGTGAAATGTCTGATATCGGTGAAGATATTCATGTCATGTTGCAGCATGTCCAGTACATAAACACACACTCAAACTTCATACATTTATTTATGATATTGCACACTGAACACAACACATCGTACAAACAGGCACCTTTTGTCTGTCAAACTGTTATATATTTGATCCCTGAGCTAAACCTGGGATTATTGCTAGCACCATAATCATGATTATTCAAGTTACAGGATCTTATAGTATATCACTCTATAGTGTTCCACAATAATGACACTTACAGTACTGTAGATGATGTATTGCACTGAAGAGTGTAACACTGTGACACTGATCTTTTAGGTTCTTTGTGCAACTGCTAATAACAGTGAATAAAATGTGTCTAAGAGCACTTCTGATCGGACCACCGATGCTTTGAATCGTTTCAAGTAGCTCTCACTCGCTGGACTGGGGATCTGAACAATCACTCCAACTTAACCGAGTAACTTCTCATCAGAGCTAGGAAAGATTACAAAGAATATAATAACTTAATCTTGAGTACATAAATACCATGTTCTTGTATGTTTATGTCAAGCTGCAATGATGCCACACTACACACTTGTTTGATAAATATTATGGATAATCTTGTAGTCTGTGTCATTAAATGAAACTCAAATAATGAAAATAATCAAAAACTCACCATCTTAAAATTACTTTCACCATGTTTACATAGTTATGCCGTCATATACTGTCAAACTGTTCATACATATTTAAAATATCTTTAAAAAACCCAAGAGATTTAAAGCAGCAATTATCATGTTGAATATTTATAACTTACCATATGACTTTTTCTTTTGGTAGATGCAGCAACCAATCACAAAGAGAAATATAACTACAGCTGCTGCTATTATTCCTGCTATAAAAGACCACAGACATTCTGTTGAAGAAAATAAAAAAGCATCATAAATACTTGTTGAACAGAGTTTAACTTTAATTGTTTGTGACAATTACACTACATTACTTAAAGGGCACATGAAATGTAGAATCAAAATGTCCTTGATATTTACACATATGAGAGGTTACTCTAAAGTAAAAACATACTGCAAGTTTCACACCAACCATTTCCATCTTTCTGAAACAGCAGAATATTGATCCAAAAGATCAAACTATTAATAATATCTGAGCAAACAAACAGGAATGGTTATGTTTCACAACAGACTCTCTCCATGCTGCCAGTTTTTCTAAATATCTTGCATTGAAGCGTTTGCGACAGAGAGTGAAATTGAGGATGGAAGATGATCATTTTTTACAAATGTTTGATGTTTTTGATACAAAAAACTTCATAAGCTAAACTCCAGAAAATAATATGAGCATCTGAAAATGCATTTCATGACCCCTTTACTTACTTTAAAACATCAACACTCCTCCTTCTGCAGTTAGTGATTTGTATTTAATCTTCACATTATAATTGCAGAAGCAGCATCAGTGTATAATGGATACTCTAATTATAATCATAATTACTCACCACTTGATTTCTGCTGATATATGGTCCACACTGTTACAATCGGCTGTGTCTGAGTCAGACTGCTGTGAATGACCAGACAGTCATAAATCCCTGTGCGATTTGCATCAATCTCCACACTGGTTCTCATCTGAAAGGATCCATCAGCATTTGGTCTGATTCCAGAAGATGTTTGGTTCACAAGAACAGATTCGTCCAACCTAATGTACATCTCAATATCTCTGGGGTAGAAACCAGTGGCCAGACAGCTCAGAACCAGCTTACTTTGATCAGGAGCGTTCTTCACAAAGACACGAACATCTGGTGAAGCTGGAAAAGAAAATAATAAGTGACAAATATTTACTTGATCCCCCCGTATTGAAAGTAGCTTGACTGAATGAATGACTGAATGAACGACTGAATGAACGACTGACTGACTGACTGATTGAATGAATAAATGAATGAATGAACGATTGATTGAATGAATGAATGGCTGAATGAATGACTAACTGACTGACTGAATGACTGAGTTAATGAATGGCTGAATGGATGAATGAATGAATGAATGAATGAATAAATGACCGACTGACTGACTGATTGACTGACTGACTGACTGAATGAATGAATGGCTGAATGAATTAATGAATGGGTGAATGAATGACTGACTGAATGAATGGATGAATAAATAAATGACTGAATGACTGTCTGAATGAATGATGGAATAAATGAATTAATAAATAAATGATTGAATGAATGGATTAATTAAAGAATTAATTAATGAATGAATAAATGAATGACGAACGACTGAATGACGGACAGACGGACGGACAGACGAACGAACGATTGAATGAATGACTGAATTAATGCATGAATGAATGACTGACTGACTGACTGACTGACTGACTGAATGAATGAATGAAGTGTTACATTTAACCACACATTAATTTAAATCATTAAATATTATTGTCCATTTGTTGAGTGACACACAGTTGTTTCAGACATGAAGGTAAGTATTATTTATTTATTAGTTAATTAATTAATACTTTTTTTATGCTGAATAACAATCAAAAACATTTATTTAGGAAATACATAGGATCAGTGTTGATTTTATATACATCTCTGTAGTAAATCTTTATTGCTGGAGAAGGCACACACTATTGTGCCATAAGCAAGGCTCATTTAACATCAGGGATGCACGATATTATCGGACTGATATCGGAATCGGCCGATAATGGCTTTAAATGTAAATATCGGCATCGGCCCAATATGAAAAATTATGCCGATATGTCTTGCCGATAAGAGGAATA